GACAGATATACCTGCCATGCTAAGCACAGAGGCCTGAATGAGACCCTCACTGTCAAGTGGGGTAAGGACCAAGTTGCTAGGGTTGGTAGTACAGGTGGTTCTGCCAGATCCACCTGAGTAGGAGATCAAAGTAAAGCTTCTGGAATTCAACATGTGGTGAGCTGGGGAAAGGAATCAGAAATGCCATCCTGATACACCCAAATATTGCTTCTCCTTTCAGAGTCCTCATCTGGCTCCACAAACAGCCCTGCTTGGGTGCTCATTTTAGCATGCACTTTGGCCAAGGCTATAATTATATTCTTTGAAAAAAGCTCTTCTAATCAGGTAGGAAAGATAAGAAAGGCATGGTGGGGCTTACTCTCTACTACAGTCAGCTGCTGGAGTCCCGGACCAGAGAACAATCTCCAGTCTCCACTCATGGAGTGAGAAATCAGGCTTGGCCCTTTGCTGAGTTCAGCAAGTGGGTTGTATAAGGCCTTTAATCGTCCACCACAGCCACCTGTTCCTACCAGAAACAGCATGAGAGAAAGAGGGGAATTATGTATTTACATATTCCTTTTGTCCTCATCTTTCACTCCTAATCTGCCCTTGCTTGCAGAAAACCTTTTTAAAGAGCTAAATGAATATTTTTATTGAAAGTGTCTTATTGAAAGTGTGTTGGTTTGCATATACCTGTTTTTCATTTACTGAAGTAGTGTCTTGTGGATTCTTCTAGTTGACCATAAGAACACTGGAGTCACACTGTTTCACCTCTCCACAGTCTCAGTGAAGGAAACCACTCTGTCCACACCTGCTGTTCACCCTTATGGGTTGTACTCTTTGGAAAACATTCCCAGGAGTGGAGCTGAAGCCCCTGTCTCCACTCCCATCAGTACCATACAAGGATTCCTGTGTCAGCATACCCATACCATGGCTGGGCACTTCTCAGCTCTCTAATTTGTTAATGATCTAGTACAATGATATATCATTTTGCATTTCTTTAGTTATTAAATGCTTTTGGTTTCCTATATATAAATTTCATGTCCATTCTTTCATTCCTTTTTGAGTTTGTCTTTTTCTTGATCTAAGTTCCTTTTATATTCTAGCTACTAATCCTTTATCTCTTTCAGACATTGTATTTAAGTTCCTGCCATCCTGTCAGCTGTGTATTAACTTTATCCATAGTAACTTTCATTAAACAAAAGTCTTTTTTCCTCCAGTAGTAGAGATTGAATTCACGGCCTTCACAGTGAACTACATTACTAGCCACTCTTTATTTTTTATTTTGAGACAGGTACTCCCTAAGTTGCTAAGCTTCCCAGCCTGGATTTGAACTTGCGATCCTTCTGCCTCAGCCTCCCAGTGTTGAGATTGCAGGCATGAGTCACCACAGTCATCTATAAATACTTACTTTTGATATTTAAAAAGTCATTTATCTGTGTTTTATAATATAGCTCATGTTTTTGACATTTCTAACTGTGCTACTGGTATGTCCTTTAGTAACTGCTTTTTATTTCACCATTTGTCTCCACTAGAGTTAGGTATATGTTTATATTTAGGAGTAGGCAACGAGAGGGGTTGGTATATATGAATATATAGAAGAAAATTACGTATTTAAACAGATATGAAGGGAGGTCAGATAAATATCTATAAATGGGAAGGAGATTGATGAAAGTCAAGTATACATGAATATACGGTGTGAGGGGATCCCAGCTCTCCTCATCCAGGTGCCCACTTCTTGCCATAGAAGGTGACGGACAGACTGAGGAATCAAGACAGTGTCCCACCTTTATTATTATTATTAGCCCCTTTTAACTTATTTAAGTCTTTATACACCTTGTTTAAATAAGTGTTAAAATCACAGGTGAGAGATAAGAATAGGCCAAAAATGTTTTAAAAGCTTAACAACAACAAAATACACAAATATCTGATAAGACATATCTATTGCAGTATTACCAGGGAAACAGATCATTGACTGAGAGAACTGGCAGGAATTCAGACATTTTAGAAAGACATTTTTAATAATAGCACATAGTGACAGTTGTCTTCTCAACAAGTGACAGTGGAACAACCAAAGGTCCACATGAAAAGGAATGAAGCTGAATTCCTACCTCGCACCACGTAACACTCAGAAGATGGAGAATCAGGAAAGCCAGTGGTATGCTTTGTTCTGAGCCTGAAGGTCTGAGAGGCAGGTCAGAGAGACTGTTGGTATACACCCATACAATGGTTTGCATGTAGTTTTTCCACACCAAAACTCATAGCTTAATCCTCAATCCTTTGGGATCTGATTAGGTTATGGGAGCACCATTCTTATGAATGGATGAATGCCTTTCTCTAGATATGGAGTTAGGGTTCTTGAGAGTAAATCATCTCTTGCAGGAGTGAACTGATTCTCATTTTGTTTTTTTGGTACCGGGGATTGCACTCGGGTCCTTGCGCTTGTGCAGCAGGAGGCGAAACCACTGAGCTAAATCCCCAGCCCCAGGAATGAACTGATTCTCAACAGACTGGTTTACTTCCCTCAAGAACAGGTTGTTGTTAAGCAAATTTATTCCTAGTGTTTTACCATCCACTGTGTTACAATGTTACAGGTATTCTGTTACAGCAATACAAAATGAACTAAGTCTTGGAGCCTGAAAGGCCAAGGACCCGGAACTCCTGTGTTCAAAGAAGGAGAAGATCAATGACCCAGCTCCTAAGAAGAGAGTAATTTACCCTCCCTCTGCCTTTTGTTCTATCTGTCCCTCAAAGTACTGAATGGTGCCCACCCACAATGGTGAAGGCAGTCTTCTTTACTCAATCTACTGGTTCAAATGCTAATCTCTTTTCAGATTAATCCTCACTGACACACTCAGCAATAATGTCTTACTAGCTAGCTGAGCATCCCTTAATTCAGTCAAGTTGACAAGTAAAATTAACCTCCATATATGCAAAAAATGAATTAAAAATGGATCAAAAATCTAAATGCAAAACTTAAAGCTATCAAACTCTTAGAAAAGAACATATGTGTAAATATTCATGACTCTGGATGTGGCAATGACAAAGACATGACACCAAAAACATAAGTAACCGAAGAAACAGATAGGTAAATTTTATTCTGTCAAAATTAAATTAAAACGTCTATACTTCAAAAGAATCCTTCAAGAAAGTAAAAGGCAACCCAATGAAATAAAGAAAATATTTCCAAATAACATATGTGATATGGAACTCATATCCACAATGTTTTTTAAAAAAACACAATTCAATAATAAAAACAACCCCATTTTTTTTAATGGGCCAAGAAACTGAATGGATATTTTCAGAAGATTTACAAATGGCCAACACGCAGGTAAAATGAGCCTCAAAATCAGTATTCATTAGGGAAATGCAGATCCAAGCCACGAGTTACTTCTCACTCAGAATGCTAGAATTATAAAAATAGACAAAAGAGTGGTTGGCAAAAATGTAGAGAAATCAGAACTCTGACTTACTGCTGATGGAAGGGTAAAATGGTACAGATACTTTGGAAAAAAGTGTGGAGATTCCTGAAAATGTTAAACTGAGTTACCATATAGCCCAACAACTCTTCTAGTTAGAGACAACCAAGGGAAAGGAAAACTAAGTCCACAGAAAAGCTTGTACACTAATGTGATAGCAGCATTATTCCCAATAGAAAGTGGAAACAACTGCAAAGCCCATCACTTGAGTGGATAAATACAATGTGGAGTGATACATTCTTACTATGCAATATTATTGGTCCACGAAAAGCATACAAGAAAACCTTATACTAAATGAAAAGTTACATACACATACACACACACACACACACACACACACACACCACTTTGTATGATTCTCTGTGTGGAGAGCCTTAACAGAGTACAGTAGTGGTTGCTAGGACTGAAGGTGGGGAGGGATTTAGGAAGGGGAAGTCTCAAGTGGACAATTTCTTCTGGGGAGTGTGTAATGCTCTAACACTGATTGTGGTAATGGTTGCACACCTCTCCAAATATAGTAAAGCCAGTTAACTTTTACATTTTAAATAGTATGGCATTTGAATTATATGCCATTGAATTGTATGGCATTTGAAGAATTATATTTCAGTAAAGCTGGTAGAAAAATAGTGTAACTAATCTCAATATACTGAACATTTTCTCAGTTTTATTTCATTTATCTGCCTACTGTAAAGAAACCCCAATTTCCTACTTTGTTTTTTTTCTTGAATTGCCAAAATGTGCACGCATGCTTAGAAAAGTATTGCTCGTTGAATTTGTTAGATACTGAAAGGTACTGAGCAAATCAAATATACGAAATTTGTTAATATAGTTTGAAATGTCTAAGGAAGAATTCTTCAACTTCAGGGAGTTGAGGGAAGCTTTTAAAATCCCTGTGCCCTGCCCCGGCGTGCTGGCACAGGCCTATAATTCCAGCATTTGGGGAGATGGGGCAGGGGAGGATCGCCGCGAGTTCAGGGCCAGTCTGGAATACATAGCGACACCTTGTCTCAAAAAACTGAAAAATAAATAAATTAGTAAATAAAATCCCAGTGCCCAGGTGAGCACCCATACTAGTTAAATCAGAGTGCCCCAAGGCAGGGCGCACTTTCCAATGCGCTGGAAAGTCTGTGACATAGTTCTCAAGGAATTCAGTTATGTAAATTGCAAAAGATGTTTCAGTAAAATCTGATGTGCTAATCTCAGCATTTAATTTTAATCAAAGGACAAAATCAAATTTCTAACCAAAAAAACTTGTAATCCTAAATCAAGATTGTCAAGTTCGGTTAGAAATAAAAGTTCTGAAAACGAATCGTTGAGGTTTTAATGCAATATTTAAATATTGACTGTATCAATCCGAAAACTGTGATACGCTTTTCCCCTAGAACAATGCTCGCCCCAACCCCCATCCCCCAGATTTCAAGGCCAGGCGACGACCTTAGGGGCTCCAAGGGCGCCACCAGCGGGCACCTCGGCCTGCAGGGTAAAGTTTGGTTCTAGACGGACACTGGTCTGTTTCCCCAGATGGCCCGGAAAGGGATCGCCCTCATCAGGAAGTTTCGGCAGGCGTCCCGGAGCCTGGCCACGGCCCCGGGGTGACTTCTCGGGTCACTCGGGTCCCCAACCTCACGGGCAGGCCGCGTCCAGACGATGTGCGCCTGGGCCGGGAGCGCGCTGCTGCTGCTCCTCTTCATGCAGACCGCTGCCCCGCAGGGGCGACCGCTGCGTGAGTCCGGGGCGCGGGGACGCCTAGCGGGCCGCGAGCCCTGCTTCCGGAGCGCGTGGGCGAGGGCTGTGGGGGCCGGGGTGTGGGAGGTGCAAGGTCCGCACACGGAACCGCAACTGTGTCCGAGGCCGCCATCTACAAGCGGGTCTGAGCTGTGACTCCTGCTCCCCCGCCCCCACTCCCCACCCGGCCCTGGCGTCCCAGGTCCTGGGAGTGGCGTTCGGAACTACCACCCCGCGCCGCCACCGTGAGGCTCTTAAATCAATCTCTTGCTTTCTCACTTAAGTAAGCTGAGCCTGGTGTCCTGGAACTCGATTCTCTGATTCATTGTTTCTAGTACAGCCTGAGTGGTTTCCCCCAGTCTTTAGCGAACAGGAAGTTCCTTCCCAGGGTGTCCTCGACTGGGTCGCCCCTCGGGTGTCACGGGGCAGTAGGCGGACAAGGGGCTGAGTGCTCGCCGAGTATTGACGTAGGAGTCTGGTTAGGATCCCGATTCTACCCCACCCCACGTCCCACCCCACGGGCCCGGGTGAGGGCGCCGCAGAGAGGCCTGCCTTGGGTCTTCCTGACTCGGCAACGGTTCTTTTCCCTGGAAATTTATGTTATTTCTGAAGGTTCGCTGATGTAACAGGTTCTCTTTTTTCAGCTAGACTTTGTGGATTTGTGATCTGCTGTATAACTAAGGGGCCTTGTCTAAAGGATGCCGAAGTAATGATTAATGTTTAACCAGTGAATCCACCTTTAAACCGCATTCTGATCTGGAATCTTGTTGATTTCCCCTTATGCTTTGGGAAGTAGGGACTATTTGTAGGTTTACTGGTTCACCAGCCCTCAGGTTACAAAGAATACAATCAATCTGGTTTTTCCCTGCCAAATTAAATTCTACCACTGCTCCTAACTCGTAGTGACTTCATCCGGTTCACCGAGAGTCTGCACTCAGCACTTTACATACATAATCGCATGTCAGCCTCAGAAGAGCACTATGTACCATACCCAAACTTCACAGGTGAGAAGAGTGAGGTATGGCCAGCTTGCACGTAAATATGTTCACTGTTTTGGTAGCTTTAGCAGTAGAACTTGAGTCTCCACTTCACATTTGTGATTCCTAACATCAGTGGTTACAGAGTGAGTCATAGAATTTGATGTTAACTGGAAATACTCATTGCACAGAATGAGTTCCAACCTTGTGTTGCACTGCTCTGGGCCCAGAGGAGGTGCGAGGAACCAAGTCTTTGCCCTCTGATATTTTGCATTAAAATGAGAGAGATGACAGTTTAAAAAGGGGAGGGGGGGGATAGAGAGAGAAAAGAGAGGGAGAGGGAGATAGGGAGAAGAGGGAGAGAAAGAATGAGAATGGAGAAAGAGAACATCAGAGAACTGATATCTGATGAATACATGTGAGAGAGGAAGGTCAGGACAAGCCACTCATTCTGACATTTGAACAGAGACCTGAAAGAAATAAGAGTAGCCAAGCTTGGCGGCACATGCCTGTAATTCCAGCACTCTGGGAGGCTGAGGCAGGAGGATTACAAGTTCAAGTCCAACCCGGGCAACCTGGTGACTTAGCAAGTCTTTGTCTCAAAATTTTAAAATTCAGAAAGGGTGAGTATGTAGCTCAGTTGGAAGGGCCTAGGTAGTCCTGGGATGTAGTTCAGCAACACAGTGCCTGGCAAGCTTGAGGTCCTAACTTTGATCCCTGGTACCAAAAAAAAAGCCTAGGTTTAATCCTCCAAAAAAAAAAAAAAATAGAAAGAAAAGATGAGAAAGATTGGGAGCCAGTTTTCTAAGCAATGGACTAGACCAGCAGATCCTGCAGGCGTTCTCAGTGGTACTGACATTTTTGGTTCGGGGTAGAGGCTGTCCTGTGCATTGCATGATGTCTGCCAGCATCCCTGTCTTCCATTCACTAGATACTACTAGCTAGTAGCAAAGTGTCTACAGATGTCACAGCCAGATGTCCTTGGGAGACAAAAATCTTGTTAAAAACCACTAGATTAGTGTTGTGTGTTGTGGGGGATGCCAGACTGGGGAATTTATCAAGACTGCATGTCAAAATAAAAAATAAAAGGGGATGGGGATGGAGCTCAATGTGAGGCCCTGGGTTCAATCTTTGGTGCCACAGGAAGGAAGGGATGGAGACAAGAAGAACCACTGGGTTGAAGAAAGAGCTAGAAGTACAGCACTGGAGGCAGAGAAGTGGGTGGTGGACTCAGAAAGGCCCCACAGGTAAGGTCCCAGGAGACCCATAGGCAGGGGCATAGACTCTGAGGAGTGACAGGACCTGTCACAGGTTTTAAAAAGCTCACTCTGGCTGCTCTGTGGAAAGCAAAACAAAGAGATCAATGAGGCAGAGGGACCAGCCAGGAAGCCTTTACACGAATCCAGGCAAGAAATGGTGGAGCAGGCTAAGCTGGAGCTGAAGGGGGAAACAGGAAACATTTGAATTTTGGATGTATTTTTTAAAGAAAATTGCTGAGAGATCCATGTATGTATGACACGAAAGAGAACATTCAAAAGCAACACTGGTCTTTACTTATTTTACTTTATCAGTCTCGAAATGGGGTAATTTGTGATGCTCTTCTTAAAATGGTAAAGACAAAGGCAAACAGTTTTGGGGAAAAGTGATAGACCAGTTTGGGATATAAGTTTCAGATTTCAATCAGGTTATCTAAGTGATATTGTCAAAGCAGTAAGAGTCTAGCATTCAGGGCCAGAGGTAAAAATCTAAGAGTCATTTATTCATCCAACAAGCATTTATGAAGTACGTACCATGTGCCAGGTGACAATGTAGGCACCGGGGATGCATCTCTGAGCCCCCTCATTTTGTCATGGGGGGACACCTGCCTAGAGATCTTATCCACTCAGCTTTCAGGGGCTCCTTCTGTGTTTGCTGGACATTTGTCTTAAGCTGTGTATCAGCAGATCTCCCGGCATTTCACAGCCAACATTTGCACAGGAAAGTGTTTGGAGGTGGAAGTTTCGTAGGACTGGATCTAATTAGCTGTGAACCCCACCTGCTGAGCTCAGCTGCCATGGCTGGAAATGCTTCAGGATTCTCTAGAGTCTGTTGGCTTCAGGAGAAATTGCCCAGTCAGGAGTAATGGGGTAGAGGCCAGCTAGTGGGTGGCAGCCACCTGTGACAGAAGAAGTGCACGGGAGACATAGCCAAGCTTGTCATGCGGAAGGTGGCAGAACCGTGTCTCACTCTCCACAGGGTGACACAGACCCAGCGGGTGGTGTGAGCTGATTCAGTTGTGTGGACTCTGAAGCTGGGCCCCCTGCTGCCAGTGCTGAAGGCCTCTTGCTCTCTCTCCAGGCTCCCACACCCTGCGCTACCTCTTCATGTGTGCCTCAGAGCCCGAGCTTGGGCTGCCCTTGTTTGAGGCTCTGGGCTACGTGGACGACCAGCTGTTCGTGTCCTACAATGGTGAGAGTCGTCGTGCTGAACCCCGGGCTCAGTGGATTGGGAGGACCTCGAGCCGGATGTGGCTGCAGCTCAGTCAGAGCCTGAAAGGGTGGGAGCACATGTTCATTTTGGACTTCTGGACTATCGTGGACAACCACAACCACAGCAAGGGTGAGTGCAGAGGGCTTGCCTTCCTGAGGTGCTGGAGCATCTCACTGCCTAGGGATGCTTGTTCAGGAGAGCTGGGAGCTTGAGGGCCTAGGGGAAGGAAGAAGAGAGGCATGTTCTTCCAGGCATCGTGTGGGCCTTAGGGATGGTGGGGACAGGGACCTACTCCTCTGGCTTCAGTAACGAGCTGGGGGTGTTGCCAGAGTCCCACACCCTGCAGGTGATCTTCGGTTGCGAGGTGCAGGAGGACAACAGCACCAGGGGTTTCTGGAAGTATGGATACGATGGGCAGGACCACCTCGACTTCTGCCCTGAGACACTGGATTGGAAAGCAGCAGAACCTGCAGCCCATCCCACCAAGCTGGAGTGGGAAAAGAACAAGATTCGGGAGAAGCAGAACAAGGCCTACTTGGAGAAAGACTGCCCCGGGCAGCTCCAGAAGTTCCTGGAGCTGGGGAAAGGGATTCTGGACCAGCCAGGTATGGTGACAGAACCGTCCTATCCACACACTCTAGTGAGGGAGTGGAGGGATTCGAGGTGCAGGGTTCTTAGCTGAGGATTCAGCGGTGGCCAAGGCTGTATACAGTATCTCAAAGGACTTTCCCAATCCTAGGGTATCCACCTTATGATTGAGATATATGACGCAGCCATGAGACATGATTTTATTTTTCCCCACGCATATGACCAAAGAAGAAGTATCTATAATCTTCTTTTGAGCTAGCCAGAAACATTGTGTGTATTTATACCTTTTAGGAGTTTAGAAATGTCAACAATCACATGAATACCCAGGCAGCAAAATGCACAGTGAAACAGTCCTTCAGAACAGCAGGATCTGTGCAGGTTAAAGTTACTTTTACAAAACATAGCAACAATCACTAAGGCCTGCTATCTTCTGAGAGCCTTTCTTACAAGAATACTTACAGGGTTGAGCCCGATGGAATTGAGAGTCTGTGTACATATTTACGTAGAAAGCAGACAAGAGAGACATTGACAAGAGAGCAGACAGCTGGGTCTGTGGTGGTTCTCCATATAACGCTACGTTGGAGCTGAATCTTGGAACAAGTTGTAGGGCACAAAATGGTGTCTCTCTTGCAGCCCATTTTGTCTGAAAAACATGTGTCCTTCCTCCAACCCACAGAGGGAAGTGAAAGCTGAAATCCTCTAGGCAAGGGTAAAAAGATCCCCTCTCTTCATCCTTCCTCTTTCTCGTTAAGTACCTCCTTTGGCGAAGGTGACTCATCATGTGGCCCCTGCGGCGACCACTCTACAGTGTCAGGCTCTGAGGTTCTACCCCCAGAACATCACCATGAGATGGCTGAAGGACAAACAGCTACTGGATGCCAAGGAGGGTGGGCAGAAGGACGTGCTGCCCAATGGGGATGGAACCTACCAGGGCCAGGTGGTCTTGTCTGTGCCTCTTGGGGAGGAGCAGAGGTATACTTGCCTAGTGGAGCATGAAGGCCTGGATCACCCCCTCACCGCCACCTGGGGTAAGGACAAGAGCCTCAGGCTGAGAAAATCTGTTGTAGGGGTTCAGGGGTGCTCACTATGGAAGTGAGGGGAGGGTCTGCTTTGGGGGAGCAGACAAAGGCTTGAACTTGCTCTTGCTTTTTTAGAGCCTTCGCCATCTAGTGCCCTGGTCATTGGAGTCAGCAGTGGCATCATTGTCTGTGTCATCATCTTCTTTACTGGAATTTTGTTCCGAACCTTAAGGAAGAAGCAGGCTTCAAGTGAGTAGGAAGGAGAAGGAAGTGTCATTGTGCCTCTGCCCCAGAATGTAACTCGTCTTCTTGCAGAAAATGGGGCAGCGGGAAAGCCTTGTCCATGAGAAGACTTCTCCTCTCTTCCTTTCTTTGGGAGCACCAGCACCTCTGGGAAGCAGGAAAGGAAAGAATGTGGGTTTCCCCCCAGAGTTAAATTTCTTAATTTAACCTTTTGAGGACTTAATATTATACAGGTGCTGTGAAAGGCAAGGGAGAAATTCTGAGGTTGATAAAGTCACTGTAGCTATTCTCAGGAGGGAATAACATGCATGACAAGTAAACACAGGTGAAGAGCCCTGAGGTCCTAGGGCAGATATGGAGCCCTTGCTCTAGGTGGCAGAGGATCACAACAGCTGGGGACCAAGAAGGCTTCTGAATCTTGAAAGAGAACTGACATTTCCTTAGATGAGGTTTAGGACAAGGAAAAGTCTACAAAGGTGGAGTAGCTGTGTGAGTAGGAAACTGTAGAACATACAGGAAGTGAGAGGTAGTGCACCTTGGTGTCCCTGGTTATGTACCTGTGGGTCACCAGTTCTGCATATCTATGCTCTGAACATCTGTGGTGTGGGGAAGAAGAGAGAACAGAAGCCAAATAATGTATCCCTTTGGGACATTAGAGTATGACCACTGGGGTATCAGTTAAGGAGAGATATAATCTCCTTCCGATGGTAGATGGATTGTTAGGAGGTGGGATGGGCAGCAAGACCAGGTAGAAAGCAAAGGAACGATTTCAGAAGAGGGAGCAGCAGGACCTGAAGTCCGGTAGTGCCCCTGGACAAGAGTGGCCCAAGTTGAGATGAGTGAAAGAGGAGGGTAAGGGACCGGAAAGAGGCCAGATGATGCCAAGGTCTGTGACACTTCTCCCTGGGTCCCTTATCTCCCCAGGAGGAGCCATTCAGGACTATGTCCTAGCCGGGTGTGAGTGACTCAAAGCCTGCAGACCTGTTCTGTGGAGGAGACACAACTAGAGACTCAAAAAGGGAGCATCCTTGTGGAGTTCTCCATATTTTAGAACAGTAGGACTTAACAAATAGAAACTGCCCAAACAACTCTCTGCCCTTAGCTTTCCCTGTTCACTTTCTAAAAAGTCTACCTTGGGTAGCTCTTTGAGTTCCGGCATGACTGTGTCCAGCACGGACTTCCCGGAGAGCTACTTTGTATAAATCTCAAACTGCATCCAGAAGGTTCATTTCCTCCCATCACTTCAGACCCTGTACACCTATACCATCTCATCTCCAACCTCTGAAAGAAGGCTTTTCAAATTTGGGTGTTTCTTTTTAACATCTGAGAAAAGCTTCACCCTGGCACATGGACACTCGCTCCCCTTCTAGAATTTTGCACACACGTGCTGGCATCCAGGACCCACTCAACTTTCCCTGTGAGTCCACTTTCTCTGCTGTCCAGTAATTCATCTGTTACCAAGCCCTGGATTCCCTTCCTTCACAGCAAGGTATGGGTGATTGCGCAGCTGTGAAGGCTGTGCACTGCTCAATTTGAAGAGGCACCTTTCCTGGAAAACAATGGGTATTCTGTGTGCTTTGGTAGTTTTATAGCATGGGGGAAGGAAGTACCTTAAAGGGGATTTTCTAATTTGTACAAAGGCAGCGTATAGATTTTCAAAGATTAGTGACACCTGCAGGTTGGTTCCACCCTAGGATGCCAGAGCTGAAATACCATTTCTCCTGTTCTGTAATGAAAATCATGGAAAGTATAATTATAATAACAAAAGTATGGCTGACACTTATTTTTTAAAAGCATATGGTATCATATTCTGTTCTGCACACTGCTTACAGGATTATTGCATGCAATTCTTATAATATTCTATGAGGTAGGCACTTAATCCTCTGTCCCTTTTGTAGTGTCGATCCCATGGCATACCTACCGGAGCCAGCTGTTTGTTATCATTGAAAACTCTAAAAGGTTCACCATCACTGGTATACATGAAGAAAGTGAAGTAGAGAATCATACAGCTTGCCCAGGAAAGATAGCCCTCAATCCCAGCTATTCAGCGATGTAATCCATGCCAGTACTGATACATCCTGGTGGTACAGAGGCAGTGGGTAAATGAAGGAGGAGGACATGGCTCTTCTCTGTCTCTTTGCATTTCTTCTCAGTGAGCTTGATCCATATGAAGGAAACCAAAACAATCTATGGACCTCAGCTGCATTTTCAAATGGACCAGATGGTGACTCCCTTGAGCCTCCATTGCTCTGTCTCTTTAGCTCTGCACACAGACTGGGGTCAGTCAGTGACTGTGCTGAGCTTCACATTGTCCTCCCCTGAACAGTGTCTGTGGAGTCAGAATCCTATCAATTCCCCTGACAAACTGTGGCTTGGAGGATGCCCAGGAATCTTCCTGGGGCTGCTGTGATTCTGACTGTCTCCTCCAGCTATAGACATTTGAAACAGTTTGAACCAGGCCACATGGGAATAGCTAGACTCTGGGAAAGGGATTTATCCAAACATGACCCAAAGAATCATATACACCTATATCTCCATCCATAAGGCACATGTTTACTTTATGCTGCTGCATATATTGGCCACATAACTGTACTACAAGCACTGTGTTGGAGGGTGAGTGGCTCAGGAGACCAAACACAGTTCAAAAAGTTTTAAATTTGAGCAGAAATCTCAACTTTTTTTTAAAATCCCTTTTTTTTTCTGGTTGTGGAAGTTACACAGAAAAAAGTAAAAATAATTTGCACTTGTAGAAAAGGTGAAAAATGAATAACATTAAACTTAAAATTTCATTAGCTTTTATACTCTATTAACAATTTGTTTAATATCTCTTAGGATCATATTGCTGTGTTACAATGTATAAAATTAACATATTTTAAAAAGTGTACACTTGTGTACTGCTTAATTTTACCAGTGTCCATGTCCTCCTTATGTATATAATTGTAAGGTCATTTCAGGACACAGCACTTCTAATTTTTTCTTACATTTTGTTTCATGGAATATTTTCATTAAACTGTGGTAGCTGAGTTGTTTTTCTTCACTGTAGGGACAGTCATACCTAAGTCATAAGTCACTGACTGTCGCATCTCCAAACCAAGCTAGAAGCACATTGATGAGTTCTTCATAAACATCATCCTATATTCAAAGCAGGATGGCAAAGGTCTTCTCTTACTCTTCACCTCATGTGTGGCTATGTTTCAATTTGGTTTGATTATACTCAGACTGAGATTGTAAGAAACACCATACCCTTCACCACAACATTTAGTCTATTAATTTTTTGTCACAGAAATAATAATTAATAAAACTCCATTTTCTTTTGTTGTTCCTGACCTTATCCATTTTTAAAATCAACCACATTGAAAAGTCAAAGACTTACATTTTCAGTTCTGTACTGTATTTTCTCTCAATTCTGGCAGTGTGGCAGTAGGGAGGAGGGCGACACCTAGTGGCCTTGGTCAGATGTATCTCACTGGTCAGGACACTGGAGAGCTAGGCCTGGGCTTTTCCTGAGGGTAAATGGTTGTACTAGCTGGTGCAAGTGATACCACTTGCAGAGTCCCTGAAAATCAAAGAAAGCAAACCACTTACCAGTTGTTTGAACAGCTGGGATCTCAGGCCACTGCTGAGCTCCTGAACTGGTAACAAGAGAAAGAAAACAACCTAGTAATCTCTTAGTCAAGTGGAGCAGCTGATTGAGGCCTGCTAAGAGGTACAAGCCAGAGGTCTCATATCACATGGTAATGCAAATTTCATGGTGCTGTGTCTACCTTATGTATTATAAAACATTCTTTGGGGACATACGCACATTTAGAAGCAAAACTCTGTAAATGCCAGAATTTCTCATAAAGTTATCAGCTTTAATCTACTGTTCTCTAACTACACTCTGATTTAAAAATGATTAGTAAACTAATCTGTGCCTTTAAACATCAAAAATGTTTTTGTGTGGGCTGGAATTTGTAATTGCCATTCTCTCTGTAGACTTTGGTCATAATTTGTTCTCTCTTTTTGCTTTCATGAATAACTTGCATTCTCTAACTTGTAGAACATTAATGCAATATTAAAGGATAGTGTATGATGATTTTATTAGCCTGGACTGCTTTGAAATCCTGCATACATTTACATTTTCCTGGACATTCTGATAGCTCGGGCATTCTGTTTCTTAGTAACTGTTTAAGACATGAGAGATAAATATGGTGTGTTTTGAGTAGAGGCTTCTATTTTTTGGCTGGATGGATTTTCACCCTCAATAAAGTTTTCTGTGGCATGAATTTTTTAAAATTTTTAGTTAATTGTTTTCGAATACTTACTAATGCCAGGTTTTGTCTGCATTTTAATTTAATTCTTCCAAAGACCCCTCTGAAGTATAAACTATTATTATCTTCATCTTTATTTTGAGTTTATGGAAACCAAGGCACAGAAAGGTTAACTTGCTAAAGTTTACACAGAAAATAGTTGTGCTGGAATTGGATTAAAATTCTAACCATTCTGGCTTAGAGTAGAGCTTCTAACTATAACGCAATACTTACCTCTCAGGCAAGAAAACATGGTGTTACCAACTTCTTGGGATGATATTTGAGTTATTCATTCTGGGAGCTCATAGCAACTCTGATGTTTTCTACAGTGACTTGGAAATCTGCTTTAACATTTCAGGATTTACCATATTCCTATTATTTTATCGGAAGTATCTTGAAGTATTTTTCAGGTATTTATACTTTTTAATTTAAGATATTTTTCTTAACGTACACAAATTTCTAACTACTGAATTCATGCTTCTGTTTATTCTTTTTATCATTCATGGAGAAATCAGATATGGGTAGTTTTAAAATGCCTATACAACATTTTATCCACTACATTTGGGTATTGTTATTGTTTTTTAAAAACCAAACTATGGCTTTTGGGCGTAAAACTGCAAAAAATTTTGGACCTATCAATGAACTTTTTAGGAGGTTAATGCCAATATTTATATAAATGTAAGTATAAGTATCATTAATTAATTTTGCAGGTCAATTAAATATGCTATGTTTGTTCCAGTGAATAACCAATTTCACCTACTGAAAGAGCTTGGTGTGTGTGTGTGAGAATATGTGCTTTAAGTACAAATGGTTAATGGACTTCTTTTTGTCTGCGTTTAGGCTCATAATTTCATCATTAACCCAAGTGCAAAATAGTTTATTTTGTGTGTGTCATTGAGAAAGCATTCAAGAAAATTTTGAAAAACTAATCTAATTGCAAATATGTTTATAAAAATTTTGAAACAAATATTTAAGAAGGATAATGTTAGAAATCCTCCGTATAAATAACTTTTTTAAACACAAGTCAAAGTGTGTTGAGTGTTTATAGGAAAGCGCTCACACAGGACCCAGGCCAGGAAGTACACATGAAGAAAAAATTTGGACTGAAAGGGGAAAGCAGGAGCATTTTCTTAGAAGAGGAAGGATAGGAAGGAAGGGAAATGGGGGCAGACATAGATTAAGTTATGAAACCAAAGTCATGTCGATACCAATGACAGTGAATCCAGGGAAGGAGAAAAAGGAAATGGGCCTTCATAACTAGAATAAAGGTGAGGCACCTGAAATGAGAAATGCTGTGAAAGCTGAGTGGAGAGTGAGATCATTCTGCCAGCGGCTAGAGGAACTTTCTACACCAGACCAGGGGTGGTGGCCAGAAAAGACTGTGATAAAGCTCCAGCAGGCCCAGCCTAAACACTCTGAGACTAAACATAAGCATTTCCTCAACTGTAACAGAGCTTGTAATCCTTGGATTTCCTTACTATAAGTACAGTTATACATTTAAAAGTACCGGTGTGTGCAGGGCTGCCTTTGATTCAGAATTATTTGAAGAAAAAATACATATATGCTATTTCATAATTCCAGTATTCTGATGGAATTAGACTGAGGAGCATCCTGGGCATTTCATACTTTGTTTTTTCATTTCATACTTTTTTAATACCTCCAATTAATATAGTTTCAAGTCTGAATGTTCCATGGGTCCTATTAGCCACAATGTTGCTTTGTAGAGCCTTTATCTGAAGGGCTTGATTCACCTGTCAAAAGAATAGTATTCTGCCAGGCTAGGTTCACCTGGAGGATGAGAAGAAGGTGACAAGAAAGGAGAATAGTAAGCCACATGGACTGAAGGGTGAGCCACCCCTCTCTCAACCCACACATGATTAATATCTGTACTCTTCCTACAGTGGAAAAGATCAAGTACTGTATATTTTTACTTGGACATATTTTTTTTTAATTTTTTATTTTTCCAGTCCTGGAGATTGAACCTAGGGCCTCACATATGCTAGGCAGGTACTCCACCACCAAGCTACATTCCTGGCCCTTTTCATTTCTTATTTTGAGACAAAGTATAGCTAAATTGTCCAGACTGACCTATAACTTGTAATCCTCCTGCCTCAGCCTTTCAAGCAGCTGAGATTACAGATTGTACCACCACACCAAGTTTACACATTCACTACTTTTGAATCATTGTTATTGCAAAAAATTAGAAAATGAGATTAGAAGGAATAGAAAAAAACCAATAAATTAAAATTTCCAAATAAAAGTGAGGGTTTTGTTTTTAATGCTGTAATAAGCAAAATTGATTTAGGGAAAAAGCAACCTAAATGTGCAGTTATACTTAAAATGGCATTTCCTGGGACATATTTTAGAGTAGTTCTCACCATGAATTTTTTTCCCCAAAATTACCATGTTGTATACACTATATTTTCACGTTTATGAATTTAAAAACATGTTGCAATTTCAGAGTTTTGCCAGTAACCTGGCACTTTTTCTCAGTAGTGTTTGACTTTCTTACTAGCTAAGTCTCCTGTTATGAAGTGCGAGGTGTGGTGAGTTGATAATCAGGAAACTAAAAATTTTCAATTTAGGTGCAGAAAATAACCACTTATTTTAGAAGTGTAACAAAACCCAGCATTTAGATATCCTGCCCTGAGTCTCTTCTCCTTTTGTGCATCAGTTTTCATGTATGTTTGAGGTTGTAATATGTTGTCTCAGGCCATAGACTAAATCTCATGTATACACAATAGGCATTTGTTTATTAACTAGGATTTTGTTTTTAAACTACAGTGATTCTTACCATGAAAACTTCCAAAAGCTGCAGCAGGAAGCTAAGGAGAAAATTTGGAGAAAGTCTAAACTACAGCAGACTGAATTCTGCTATTCTACCTTATTTTTTTTTAACGGGATTAGCCTCAGCATTACTAATCTCATCAAAGGCCTTTAAGGGGAAGAACTTGTAGGCTTTGTAATGACCTTAATCAAGTATTAGCCCTATACAATTATTCCCAATTCTACAAATGTATGTTCTTGTCTCTAAAACTGGAGCAGGTTGAAAAGGAATTACTAAAAGAAGGAAGAGAAGCGTGTTTGGAACTGTAGGCACGTCAGACAGGCACAGGGGCCCTGGAATAGGGCTAACTGAATACCCAAGCTTAGCTTCAGGTTTCCTGCCTCCCTCGCAGAGATTCACGGAAAAGGGAGTCACTCAATAAATGTCTGAATTGAGGTAGGGAAAAAGACGAAAAATTTGCACTTACAAGGTTTTAATTTGCAGTTTTCTTCCACTTTTGTCTGCAAACATAGAGGCTATGAGGGCAGAGTTATATCATGGCCAGGTTTGCACTCCGTCCAGCACAAGGTTTTGACTCTGTCCGTTAAAATGAGTTGGTTTGAATAGAAATGTAAGTATCCAGAGGGAAACCCACTTGCTATATTAATCCACTTATCTTAGATGTAATTTGTATTTCAAGGAATCGATCTCTAATTAGTGGAAATTTTTAAAAAGAAAATGGAACGGGAATCTTTGCTTATAGTGATTGACCTGATAAAAATACTTTTAATTTAGAAATGTGCAAAGAAACAGTAATGCAATACAGAAGAAAACTGAAGCATTTCGGGCCAATGAAATCTGTACCTCTCCATCCAGCCCGCCCAATGAAAAGCAAGGTTTCACTGGCCAATCAAAACACTGAAATTTTAATAAAGCCTTGACCTTCCCCCACCCCCTCGGTGAAGTAATTTGTGAAAAAAAGCCTACCAACCCTGTGGTTTTCAATGAGGTCCGCAAACCTAGTATTTAGGGGCTGCACCCACCTTCTGTAGTACTGTAGTCTGAAGCATGTCTGGACGCGGTAAGGGTGGTAAGGGCCTCGGGAAAGGCGGCGCTAAGCGCCACCGCAAGGTGTTGCGCGACAACATCCAGGGCATCACCAAGCCCGCCATCCGCCGCCTGGCCCGCCGCGGCGGCGTCAAGCGCATTTCTGGCCTCATCTACGAGGAGACACGCGGGGTGCTGAAGGTCTTTCTGGAAAACGTGATTCGCGACGCCGTCACCTACACGGAGCACGCCAAGCGCAAGACGGTTACGGCCATGGACGTGGTCTACGCGCTCAAGCGCCAGGGACGCACGCTCTACGGCTTCGGCGGCTGAGATTTCTGGGTTTTGCCATCGCTCGCACTTTGAACAAAGGCCCTTTTCAGGGCCACCCACAAAGTCACGTAAAGGGCTGAGTATGTTGCCAGGCTTAGTTTAAATCTGATCAGTTAGACTAGTTATAGCAATCTTAGGTGGCTGCTAGGCAGACAAAACTGGTTTCCTAGTCTGGTTGGTTTTACGACGTTTCTTACGAAGTTGGTGATGAACTAAGATCTGAAGTGAACGCGAGATGTGAGCACAAATTATAACAATCTCTTCCCTCTACAGGATGCGCGTACTTAGGGCTTTTTGAGAAGCCTCTGCGCTGGCGGCAGCTAGAAGCCTCCGTGTGCATAAACATCTCTAGCGGCTCGTACTGATAGATGCATAGGAAGCGACTTCCGTAAAGAGCGCTCGAAGGAATGCAAAAGTAGTTTTGCAGAGAATAGGGTGAGTCCATCGCTGCTATCTTATAAGGCAAAAACAAGGAGACCTAGTGAACAGGCTCAACCTAGAAACGGGGTTAACAGCTTTTAACTGGAGCTGTTTGAGGCGCTAGGAAGCGGGAGGCTCAAAGGTGCAGTCCCATCTAGAGGATCCCCTGGTGCCAAAGGACCTGCTGGCTATTGGTGAGGGCAGCACGTCATCATCCTGGGACGAGGACCGGGGGACAGCCACTGCAGTGCACAGTGGTCGACAAGTGCTTAATTTATGCCAGGCATAATTGCCCCACCTTCAATTCCAACCTCATAGGAACAGTGACCCTAATATCTAAACAAGGCAAGGGCTGGAGATGATTACGAATTGAAACCATTATGCATATAGTCATTTTCCATGTTAGTATACAATTTTAAATTTACCAAAAGCCCTAACTATACAGTTTCATTGAGCTACCCAGAGAACGTGCTTGTAATAATATCAAATAATGGTCAAAGAAATGGTTTCCACCTTTGCTCAAAGTTGCCCCCAAAACAAAAAGTTCGAAATAGATTAACAGTATGGCTTTATTGTGTGTTAAGGAGGAATGCAGAAGAATGCTAAATCACAGATTAAGAAGCAAACAATCACAGATCAAGAAACAAATTTCACAAAGTTATTTCGGGTTGGACTCGAGTCTAAATAAAATTTTTATATCTTAGGAAGGTTAAATTCAGCTCTTTATTGTGCAACCACAAACATTTCCATAAAGATAATGGGTTCCGTTGTTCAACCTGTGGAGTGCCCTGGCAATCTCATGAAGCCTGTACATTATTTTCATTAAAAAGATACATGAATTAGTATTTAGGATTACAATCCTATAGGCCAATAGTATCAGGTCACTTTTAAAGACACATCTGCTTCTATTTATACACCAGACATGTAATAGTATATACCACTGGTGGCATCTAGCTGTTTATCATTGAAAGCTTTCAAAGATTCACCATCACTGTTATACTAAGATTCATGTACACTGAAAGTACTGTCAAACTCAGAAAACTGTAAAATTTCAACTGAAAGCTATTAAGAATTTTAAAAAGGTAAAACTCTCCTATAGCCTAAATTCTAGGACACTTTGACTTAATTTACTGATCCCACAGAAGTCTGTGGACACCAAGGAACCTCTTAGATGACATTAAGTAAGAGTAAATTTTAAATAGCGCTAAGCAGGTTAAAAAAAAAAAATGTTAACATGTTTTCTGATGCTGAACCCATTTGTTCTCCCATTTCCAGGGGCCTTTTCTAGAAAAAAAATACAGGACACTTAAGTGACAAGCCCTACCCTGTAAATTCTTGCATATTCACCTTTTGGAATGGGCAACACCCATGAACTTAAGCATTTTTACACCTATAAATTTATGTCTTTTCACCTAATCAGAATGCAATTTGTTAGTAGACAATTAGGTTAAAAACATATTGTTCCATTAACTTATAGAAGTTTTTCAGCATCACGCTACTCTAAAATTATTTAAGTGGCTCTTAAAAGAGCCTTTGGGTTCTTTGAAAACTGGGCTTTTACTTCTCAAGCTGCTCACGTCTTAGACTCTGCCTTCCTGGAGTTCGACTTCCGCAGGGCCGACCTTGGCCTCTCGGCCTTGGCCACTCTAGCCTTGCCAGCCTCTTCCACTGTTTCAGGCTCTTAGACCTTTGGGCCTTCTTCTTGCTGCCTGAGGTTTCCCTGTGTGGAGTCCTCTACTTCCTGCTCCCCCGTTGGTCTTAGTGCTCTTTGGGGGTCTGGAGTACCTGGGCAAGCCCGGTTTCTTAGATCTTCACAGAAGGTCTTCTGACCTTGCCCTTGGCGGCTTCAGGAGCAGCTTTCTTGCTGAGCCGGAAGGACCCAGAGGCACCAGTCCTTCAGATCTGCACCAGAACTCCCTTGCTCTCTAAGCTCTTAAGAGCCTGTTTGATGCGGCTGTTGTTTTTTCACATTATAGCCAGCAGCAGCCAAGGATTTCTTGAGCCCGGCAAAGAACATGCCAACTCGGTTTGGTGACTCCACCAGAGCCTCAGTGATCAACTTGGGACACTGAGGAGCTCTGGACCTTCTGGTTTGTACTTGGGCTGCCAACCGCCTTCCTGCCTCCCGCCTTCTCTGCCTCATCTTTTAGCAAGTAACTTCCCTATGGGGTCTGGAGCACGAGCAGCGAGAACTGTAGGTAGTGTTTCAGACTTAAGTGACTAGGAGACCACAGTATAATGGCCACTGGAAGGTGTAAACGCTGGGCATGCTGCAGGGCCTTATATAGGGTAGGACGCACTCTGACTGGTGCATCGCTGGGGCACCGCCCCCACCCCTCAGAGGCGGAGCATTTGTGTTGGTTTTACCCTCAAAAGTTGAATCCTACAAAACTGCTCCTTAGGAAATCACCCAGGTTTCCCTGCTGATTGATCCGTGGGGATTCAAATTTCACCTGACTTTTTACTTGTTAGTAACAGATAACCCTACCTTCCAAAATTATTCAAGAAAACCCTCAATTTTCAGCCAGGTTCAACAGGGCGAACAAAACTTCCTCTTCTCCTTGCAATTTAAAAATTAATTTTTAAGTGAAAATTGGTCTCATCTCTTCTGAATGGTTTTCCATAAGGGTGGCTTCTAAATGGTGAAGGAAAAAAATTAGTCATCCCCCAATTTTTAATGAAAACGACTTGTATATGTGAGGGAAGTAACACAAGTCTAGCTGCCTCATTCCAGAGTTCATAGAATGAAAAACCTCAGTGTTTTTGTATTTAGGCAAGCCCACGTGGAATATGGGTTTTCTGGGATTTAAACCATTCCCCACTTCCTGAAGCCTTGTAGAAGATCTTCATGGATGGGCTAAAGACAAGGCTCTTACATATGAAATCTGCTTGGCCAAAATCAGGTCATTCTCATGGCTGTTGTCTTCAACTGAGTTTAGCTTCCATTTACATTAATTCCACACTCTCACCCCGGTTTTCCCCCACCCAAGGTAAGGAGACATAGTCCCTGCTCCTCATTAAGCACCAGGAGACAGGAGCCCTGGCCTGAGAGACCAATTAAATCTGCAGATCCTATCTCTAACAAGATTGGGCTGGCAAGTGCTGCAGTAGATGCTTTGGAAAGGTGGTACTGGAAGAATGTCCAAAAGGCTCCCCTATGCATCTCCTGGGACTGTCTTGTGACAGCCCTGAAAATGAGAGTTTGCTCATGAAGGCCAGTCCTTTCTGGGGGTGCTGAGAAAGCAGCATACTGTGAACAGAGGTCAGTATGTTAGACAAGCAAAACTGCAGAAGCACAATTTTGTAAAGATCCCCAAATGCCTGTATGAGAAACTTGGGAGAAAATTTACAGGCCAGAAGCCATGAGGGGAGACATTGTTACACTGTTATTGTATTTGCCTCGGCTTTAGATTTATTGCACAATCATTATTAAGAAGGGCCTAAAGTCAGAGGTCAAAGTCCATTGCAATTGTCTTAGAATGGGTTTTGCCTGAGACAGGATGGGGAAGAGTGCACATTTAAAATATTTGTAGGGCTGTGGATTTAGCTCAGTGGTTCTGCCGCCTGCCTCACAAGCACAAGGTCCCGAGTTCGATCTCTGGTACCAAAAAAAAAAAACTTCATTAAAACATTTGTGAAATAAAAGCTAAAACATGAGACTTCACATCTGTTTGCAAAGTACTAAAAGATTCTTCTTCTTCCTCCTCCTCCTCTTCCTCTTCTTCCTCTCTATCTCTCTCTCTCCCTCTCTCTCACACACACACACATACACACACCTGAAACAAAAACTTGGAAAACTACCTTAAGCACTTGCATTAATCAATTTTATTTTTTTAAAAACTACTTGTTTCACATCATGAGAATGATTTTGCACCCCACCAATGGACTGTGATCCTCATTTTGGAGTATATCTGTAGGGAATGTATTAGTCTCTTTCCCACCACTGAGATAAAATACCTGACACCAGCAACTTACTGGAAGAGAGATTTATTTTGGCTTATGGATTCAGTGTTCAGTCCATAATTGACTGGCTCCAAGGCAAAAACAGCAATGTAGAAGGGCATGGCAGAGGAAAGCTGCTCAATCCATGGTGGTGAGGATACAAACAAAGAGGAAAGGAGCCAGGACAAGGATACATCTTTTCAGATTATGTCCCTGGTGACCTTCTCCCTTGCAACCAGACCCCAACTCCTAATAAAGCTTTGAGTTGGGAACTCATTGGTGGATTAATTCACTGGTAAGTTTAGTGCTCCCATGGTCCAATCACTTTACAAAATCCAAGTTCTGAATTTAAAAGACACATTTTAGATATAAATCATAACAAGATTATAGGTCCATTTTTCTGAGCACCCTAATCTTATATATCTGTTTGGATTCTCTGACTTTTGATGATCTCCAAACTTTTGTGTCCTTAAATATCAATAGCTTATGGGTCAGAAAGTAGATCAGGTTGAGCCTTATATTTAGAGGTTGACAGGGTATATAGCATTCTATTGCTTTAAAAATAACACACAACTGGTGAGTTTAGGAAATTCCTAGACTATAATTTATAACCCAGATAAAGAACCATGATTCATATTTTGCCTTAGATAACTGAAAAAATACCATAAAAACAAATAAAAGATGACCTGTGCCAGTTGTTAAATCAAGTCTTTCTCCTAAAAGAAAATGCAAGAAAATTTACAATTTGCAGGATCTACATGGCATATAAATGGGAGTCAATCAAAATAGTCAAAAACAGAAAACTAATTACATAAGTAATGATACAACCATAAAATACATATCCATAAAAATTGTGTTTCTAACCACATTTAGTCACCTAAAATTTATTTATGCATATTTGTACCATGATATTTATTTATTATATGTACATTATAATATACATTCATATTCTTATGGGTAGCTACCTCACATCTGTATAAAAACAATAGGAGACACTAGGAGTTATTTTAATTTTCTTCTTTTTATGTTTCTCTTTTCAAAAATTTCTACCACTAACATTATTTTTATACTCAGAAAAAAACCCAATATTTTAGCCAGGTGCTTATTGGTCTTTCTTGATTCTTTTAATGCTTCTGGTGATCTTCCAGTAGCTATCATATTTCACTGGGTGATTTGTGAGATGAAACAGTGTCCAGCAGTGGTAAGTGGTAGAAAAGATAAGTCTAAAGGCTATTTGCCCCTCTTGGCAAAAAGAGACTCATTGATTCACGTCTGTGATTCATCCAATCTTCATCATTGTACTTGACTCTGAAAACAATAAAAATTATAATGATGAATTTCACTGGATCTTTTCTCTCGGCCGGGCAGCGTTCTGAGCACTATAAAGATACCAATGTATTTGGTTATTGCAATAACATTATGAGGTACCCCCATTACTCTCCCTGTTTCCACATGAGGAAATTAAGGTATGGAGAGAGTGAGTTTTCCAGATGGCACAGCTGCTGGGTAGGGGACCACTGGAGTAAGCCCACACACACCATGCAGTACTTGAATGTATGTGTTATGGTTTGTTTATAGATGTCCCCCTAAAACTTCATGCAGTCATAGGGCTTTTTCAGAGGTGGCTGAATCTAGAGTGTGTGACACTGAGAGTTGGCACTGCCCTAATGCCAATAGTCACAGTGGCACAGTGACACAGGTCAACAAGTAGAGATTGTCTAAGGAGGAGGTAAGCTTGCCCAGGAGCCCTGCGGAGCTGCCTGTGAGGGATGCAGAGAGCCTCATGTCATGACAGGCAGGAGAAGTCAGGCTTGTGATTCCCATGTGGGGCAGCTGTTTCCAAGAGACTCCCTTCTCTCCAGCGATCATCTTCCAGTCAGCTGGTAGAAGTCACTCCCAAGCTCCCCACATCTCTCTTCCTTAAAATTAGTGCAGTCAAATGAAATATCTGATGGAGAAGTGCCCAAATAAGTGCTGAGTCTGTTTCTTGGGTTGTTATACAATGTATTTTCTCCCTATATTGTCATCAAAGACAAATCTCATTTTATGCTCTCCACATGTCTAAATACAGTTCAGGGAATGTATGCAAGGTTTACTTAACAAAGAATCCCCCTTTAATTCCTGTGAGGTGACACATTATTCTGGTGGGGCAATGTAGGTTTCTGTGGCAAATGTTCCCACATCCAGCTAATCCAAGAGTATGTAATTGTGACACACTAGACATATCTTAATGCTCAGGGCCTCACCTTACTTTGGAAAGACAGAGACTTTTGCTATATATTTAATATATACTACTTGTTTAAAAACTAATAAAAAGAAAAAAGTCACATTTAGAAAATTTTTTACAAAAAGCCAGTCTGGAAGCAGAGCCTGGGGACAGTGGCAATAAGCTGGTGAGAGGCACAGCCTCCACCAAAAACCTTTGGCCACCTCTACTACTCAAAGAGTGACCTCTGATGTAATCGCGCATTTTATAGACTTTCTGTTGTTTCCAGTACTGTGGTCTTAACACATCCAAGTGCCACACTCTCAAACACTACTGCCAAAGCACCAAATTTAGGGACCGTGTGTATCACACTCACATGTCCCCTTCTCATCTCACAACACAATGATGGTAGTGAAAATGCACAAGAGAAGACCACTACTCAGAACAGTTAAAAGACAGAACACAAACGGTGTTATTTCTCCTCTCTTCCACCTTATTGGTTCATCCTTCAAGGACTTCCTTTATGCTTCCTTGCTACGATTTTATTATCTGAGGATTAATTGAGTTAATATAGTAAAATAAAACAATGCCTGTCTCACGTTAAGTACCATACTGCTATGAGTTGCTCTTGTTGTGTGAAGCATTTGCATTAATATATTAATGTTAATATGGATATTATCACATCTCTGACTATGCCTGATGCCTGTTTGCATGCTCTTTTTCTATCCCCAGACCTTAGTCTTTTCTCCCACTCTATATAATTACTCATAAAATTACTATATAATTAATACTTATAATTACTTTACTGCCATTCTTCCCCACTGAAATGTAAGCTCCATGAAGGTGGTATCCATTTCTAAGGAGAAAGGCTCTGAAGATTAGCTCCTTAGCAGCTGGAGGACTGAGAGATAGGAATGTTCCTTCAGGGAAGGAAGAGAAAGAGAAGAAGCCTTCTTTTAGATCATCCCCAAACTATGGCTACAGGCAGTCTGTGCTACATAGATGCTGTCACTGGCTGATTTAAAACCATTGTGGGGCCTTGTAGTAAAAAGAGAAAGGTAACAGGAAGAGGGGAAGGGAGAAAAGAAAATGAGGACCAAGAAGAACTGGACATCATGGCTGACACAATCCGCTTGCTCTTTATCTACTAATCCTTGTTTGTTTTTCTGCACAGCCACAGAGCCAGTCTGCATTTCCTTGTTTTCTAGGAAAGTGGGTGGGGCTAAACCTGAGATTTGGCCAAGGAAGAAATGCAGAAATGATAAGCATCACTTCCAGGCCCAATTCATAACAATTTCTCTCATAGAGGCATTTTTTTTTCTTTCTTCCTCTGTCTGTTAGCTTGATATTGAGACTCCAGGAGAAATCTCAGAGGCCCAAGGATGCTCTAAATCCAAGGTGTAAGGAGACTTTCTCTCTGGAAGCCTAGAGAGGAGCCCCATTCCTCATTATGACACAACACATTGTAACAGGTGATGAACTGCTATAGTATTTAGCCACTAATTGATACAACAGCAATTATTACTTGCTGTCTTAGCTATTTTCTCTCCTTGCTCAGACAAAATATCTGACACCCAAAGTTAACAGGGAAAAGGTTTATTTAGCTCACCACAGGTAGAGGTTTCAGTCCATAATTGTCTGGCTCCAAGGCATGGTGGTGTGGCAGAGAGGCCTTGCAGAACAGAAACAGTTCCAGGTGGCCAGATGCCCCTTTTATCTTATTCAGACTACTTAGGCCAGCTAGCACTCACACCCTTAATCCAAGTGCCCTCAGGCCTGGCATAACAACATGAATCAATCAAACACTCTAGATTCAGCCACCTCTGAAAAAGCCCCACCTATATCTAAAAAAAGCCATCACACTTCCTTAGTTTTGATCTAAGGGTTTTTTTGAAGCAAGCTCAACATTGCCAGTTCATAGTAGTACAAACCCTCCACTAGTCCATAATGACTAGGCCCTAATGCCAGATCTGGTTTCCTCCTGAATAAATAACGAATTACCCCTAGCAAACCTCAAATACCTCAAAACTTTGGAACCACTAGCTGGCTCCACTGGGACCCCCCCCCCCAAAATCAGGATTTTATGTTCAGCATTTTTTTCATTGGTTCATCATTGCCATCCCCCAACCCCTACTCAGTCCTTATCCCCCTAAACTTGCTATGTTCTTTGTTTCCTTTGTTTTTCTCCATGACACTCACTTTCCAACATGCAAATATTTCCCAGGGTCACTGTTTTTCTGTGTTAGGAGAGTCCTGGCCCAGGGCAGGGATTTTGCATCTCCTGACCTATACACAATAGAGATCAATGTTTGGTACATAGAAGGTATTCAAAACCTTTCTCAGATAGATTGATCAATCATTATCATGCACCTATTGTGAAGCAGTCTAAGTGATAGACCCTAGGGATATTATGGTGATTAAATCAGAGATCAGAGCCTGGGGTTGAGGTGGGGGTGATAGCTAGATAAGTAATGATAATTAAATGCAAACTGTGCAACACTTGGGCAGAGCAGCTAGGAGAGGATGCTCAGAGACACTTTCTGGAGAAGGCAGCAGCCAAGCAGATGCCTGTACAATGAGTATGAGTTCTCCAGTCAGAAAGGAAAGAAAAAATTCCAAGAAGGAGGTCTAGCATATGGATTAGGCAGGGAGCCAGGGAAAGCTGGATGTGTGTATATCTGACTGCAGGACACAGCAAGACAGAGAGAGGGACAGAAGAGACTCCAAGAAGGGGCAGGGATAGATAGAGCAAGTCAATCCATGAATGTCTTAGGAGCTTGTAGAGTATCCTGAAGGCAAGATAAAACTTTCAAATCCATTCCAGATCACCCTTGCAACCAGTTCACTTGCTAGCAGGATGGGGACCCATTGCCAGTGCCTCTCATTTACAGGGGATTAAATTCCAGCCTTATTTGTGTTTAGAACTGACTAGGTCAAGTTCAGTCTAGTCTAGAGTCCTAGGCACTCTCTTCAAACTCTCCAAAAAATCCCATATGCTGTTTTCTGCTAGGCAATTTTGAACCACACTTGAGGCTACCAGATTTTCTTCCATCGAAGATCTTCAAACGCTCATTATCTGTATAAAATTCCTAAACACAATTTTATTATATATTTTTTAATTTTAAAAAATTATTTCGCTGCATTAAAGCACAAATGTGTTTGTTGTGTTTCAAAATCTAGTACCAAGGTCCATGACCTCACTTGTTTAAGCAAGTCTAACAATAAAACTAAAAATTTATTTAAAAATTAACAATTTCAATATTTTTATGTTCTATTCTATACCTGAATTTAGGCCAATGAAAGTATAAATACGAATGGAAAAGTAAGGAGAAGAAAATAAAGGGAGAAGGGGAGGAGAGGAAGAAAAAAAAGTGAGAAACAAGTTTATTCTTATTGCTCTGGAATCCATTTTTTTTTACTGTTGGAGAACATGATGTAGTCAGAGGATGACCCTAGGGCTCTCAGCCATTGGGTCAAGGTTTTACTCAGGGCTGCTTCTTCTAGGCAAGTGTCTCCCTTGGAATGAAACAAGCCTCGTCATTTCTGTCCCTTCATCCCTTCTGAGCCAGCTGTGAGGAGATCTAATATAGGGCACAAATGACAATAGTGAGATGAAGCCAAACCTTTCCACGAACTATTCTCCAAGTTGCTCTCTGGATGATAAGGCTACACGACAAGTCTTTAAAGGAGCAAAAAAAAGGTTCATTCTTTTTTCTCTTTCTCAGAACTGGGATGGGGAATAGTAGAAAAGTAGTTCACTCTCCAAATTGACTTCCTGTTTCCTAACTTATGATCAACCCATAGTGCTTGAGAACATATCGAGCTGATTTTCAGAATCTAAAGAATTTAGTCAGAGCCTTGAATGTCTTGTAGGAAAGGTCACAGGCAACTGTATATTCTACCTAATCTAATTTTATGATTAATCATCCAGTATTATACACACTGAAGATTTTAAAAGCTTTCAATGCCTTTTAATTTAGGATTCTTGGATTGTCTGATAATGTGCTGAATGTATATACCATTCCAACTCTGGAAGAGTAAAGATTGATAGTTGTGTTTTTTATATCCTTAGGAATATACCTAAATAAATAAATAAGTGTGGAAAAACATGCATTTCTTCTAAATCTATTGGATAAGTACAATATAACCAATTGTCTTTTTTATATTAAATAATTTATAAAATTCTTATTATTTTTCATAGACTAACTCCCACCAAGGTCTCTCATCATAAGCTGCCTTGAGTCCTTTTAGTGTAAGGACAATTATAAATAAATATTATTTGAAAAAAATAAAAGTATAAATAAATAAATATTATTTGGCAAACAGCAGTAAACACAGTGCTTTATATTCATCTTAATCTTTACCCACCTCCAGAAGTTATGTGCTGTCCCTCATGCTCAAGGTGCAGATGAGCAGAGATATGAATGACTTGCCTCAGTCTCACATCCCAAAAATGGAGACTGGAGTCAAACCTGAAGATTCTGTCAAGAGACTGCACTATGTTTATCATGGAACAATGTTTTTGCAACTACTTTCCCTATATGATACCATTTCTGGAGAGTATTCTTTAGTTACTATTTCATTTCATCTTTTCCGTTTATGAGTAGGTAATTAGTAGCATAGTACAGGATCAGGGTAGTTCAATAAAGCTAAAAAATATTATAAAATTGATATATAACTCATATATAGACACTCATAGACTGTCTACAAATAGGAAATTGTGTCACTAAAAATGTATTATTTTTAGTAAAGAATTCAGTATGAAGAGGTTGTTCTGGCATAGCCTATGAAAGACTTTCAAAGCATTTGTTTTATCTATTACAATTAGTTATTCTCTAGAAACTCGCAAATGCAACTAATTATTTTAGCATTTTTATGGTGAGGGAAAAAAATTATTTGTTACTCAATGACTATCAAGGGAACCCCAGAGATAGACTCTTTTTTTGGTACAAAATGTGTCTTAAGAGTTTCATTACTTTGAATTTAGAGCTTGAATTTAGAATAGGTTTAAAAAGTTGTCAGAGAAAAGTTTTATTACATTAAGATAGGAACATAGATTATGTGCATATAAAAAACAAGAAAAAGACTGCAGTTTCATTTTAAAGTGACTACACATATTGAAATGAATTACAAGATTACTAAATAATACCAACTTCCTTAAATAATAAACATATCCATTATCTTCTATGCTTATTCATGGTTCTATGTAGCTATATTACCTGGCTGCATCAGAGTTGTTTATATTAACAGCAGCCCTTAAACACAGCAGGCAGTTGTCTTCCCTCCAGTATAAGGAGAAAAACTAGTCATATAAACCTACATGGTCCTCAGGGCCCACACATGCATATGACGTATCCATCCATTTTACAGATCTAAAGTGACCAAGGCAAAACTATTTACTGCCTTTCTCTTAAGGCAACCATACATTCTCTAACCTGATAGTCAATGGTCAATATAAGCTGTATAGAAATATACTTCCATCAAGAACGTTTTTTAGTATTTTGTATTTTGTAAACTCCACGTTAGAAAGTGTACAGGTACTCAAAGATTAGGCATTAATTTCCTCAATTTAATGTTCATCTAAATTCTTCAAGTTATACATTGTGAGGTCAGTTTTTATTATTAATTAATTATATTAAAATTATTATTTATAATTCTATTATAAATTATATTAAAATAATTCAATTTTTAAATGATATTATTTAATTTAGTTCAATTAACTTACAATTTTAAAATTATAGTAGTGTTTACTCATCTGACCAATAAATCTAGTAAAAGGTTAATTCAAATTGATTAGGTTTTTTAATAAAACAAATGCTAGGCTGCTGTAACTAAATTATGCTAACACTATTTTTATATTATAATAAAGATATAGAACCATTTTAAAGCAATATTAAGTCAGTGAATTCTTCCAAAAAGTAATCTTAATTAAAAACATGATTTTCCTTATAAAAATGTATACCATGTATAGAAAATTTTGTTGTTTTTAAATAGTGAAGTACTTTTTTTATTCCTTTAATCTGTTAACTAAAACCACTAATTAGTCATGCTGAAACTTTTCTTTCAGTTACAATCTAAAGAGATAGAACTGTTAAAGACTTTTTTGAAAGAATTCTTTTAGGAGAATTCTTTAGAAAAATTGGAGTTTTTAATTTAAACTGATGTATTTTAAAATTTTATATAAGCCACATAAAATTTGAATGTACATTATAATTTATTAATATCCTGTTGAAATGCACAATTTGCTCAAACTTACTTGCATTCATGAAATAGAAAACATTTTCAATTGTCCTGCAAATTAGATGAGCGAAGTGTTTTACAAGAACAGTATTTAAGATACATGAAAGCAGCCAAAAGCCTGTGTTTCCCCCAAAATAACCCCTAACAACCTTGAAAACTAGAGACCAAAAATGCCAACCCCAATCAGCCTATCCTTGTCTTATCTGCCTTACAAAATAGCCAAAATAGCAGAATAGTGAGGTTTAATCTTCTGCACGACTTTGGCCATCACCATCATAACAACCAGCTAGGGCTTATTTTCTGATTAAGCCTTATTTTCAGAGAAACACAGAATCTATTAAGTATATATGTTGACTAGTTAAAGAAAGGTATGTAATTAAGATTAGAAATCCTGGCCTGGGGATTTAGCTCAGTGTTGCAGCACCATGCCTCAAAATCACAAGGTCCTGAGTTCGATCCCCAGTATCAAAAAAAAAAAAAATTAGAGATCCTTTAGGAATTACCATTGCTGAGAATATAAATCTCTAACCTTATAAGTTTGGTAGAAAATTCCAGGTTCATGCCATATACCTTATAATAAACTTATTGTTTAGAAAATGTGAAATCTACAGTATGCTTTATATGAATATTGGAAGCACCGTCTTTTTTCTGACTCAGTTTTATCTGTAATGACGTGCTTTCTCTCTTCTCTGTAATATTACATAAAGAGTCTGAAGAAACAATAATTTGGAATCACTAAACCATGAACTCTAGAACACTAGAGTCAGAAAATTTTGTTTCTTTGGTTTCCTTCTTGTCCTAAGTCTTTTCTTAGGCCTGACAGTTTATTAAAGTCAAAAGTTACTGTAGGCTGCCATTTTATATGTGGATTATCTTTGACACAAACTGCTACTTTTACATATATTGACAACCATTTGGACATATATCGTGTAAAGACATACGCAGACACACACAAAAAAAGTTCTGGAAGCAGGAAAGAAGCCTACAAACTCAGGCCCATGGTGGATCCCATCAATGATCAGAGAAAAACCACTAACTCCCAGATTCTGTTCCCAAATTCACAAAGTATCAACAATCCTTAGACAAACACCAACAAACTTCTAAAAAATAATAAATAAACCACATTTGCAGCCCTCACCAGCAACTAATCAGAATGAGAACCAGAACAGGAAACAAACTTGGGCAAGGCTAAATAAAGTTTTAGCATGCAAGAGCCAAGAAAACATAAGCAAAAACCTCAGAGGAAAAAGCTAAGAGAGAAGTGCTTGCAGGCCACATTGCTGTGGATTCCTGTTACATTCAAACATTATCTGGTGAAATCCCCAAAAATAAATGGTCAGTTATTGATTAGCCTACTGTTTCCTTGTATTAAGGAGAGCATTACTTCATCACACACAACGAAAGTAGCATTTATATGAGTGAAAAGACCAGAGGGGAACAACTTCCATTCTGCCTACGAACAGTAAATCCTGTTCCAGTTTTTGTTTAACTGATTAGTTGCAGTTAGAACAGAGGTTAGGCTGAAATGAACATCAATCCTTCCACAAACCACCTAGGGGCATAGCAAAGACAGCTGTGAAGGGCTCTACAAATCGTGAGGCTTGGTTGTGGAGCCTGTGTGACAAGTATCGCTAATGTCTTGTATTTGCATTTTCACCTTAAATGCTGCACCATTTCTCGTAGGAATCTCGGGTAACTCAAATCAGGCAGCCAGTGATTGCAAAGCAGTCTTCAAGGCAGGCAGCGTTTATTTTACACTCCCATATCAAAGAAAACTGGAGATTTCAGGTCACAGGGTCTTTTCTGTAATTTTGTAACACAAAGTACAGGGTGTCTTACTAAAATTGTAAAACTACTTTATTCGTAACATTTTGCTTGTACTTTCCAACATTAAGGGAGAAAGCAATTTCTAGATGCAGAAAATATTTCAGACTTTAAAAGATGAGTAAAGAGCTTCTATTTCATCTTAAAATCTCTATGTGGAACAAAGATCCTAAGAGCTAAAAGGAAGGTTGAATTTCCCAGTCCCGGAAAACAGCCTGCATTGTCAGACTTGGAAGCACTCCAGACTAGGCTACTCCTACCGGCTTCTCTATTGTCTCACCTTTGTTCTAGGACCTGCCCGCAGCTGTTTGCGTTCAAGGTTTCCCAATTGATCTAGCGCTTCCAGCTGCTCTTTCCAGAAATTGAGCTTTTCAAACCTTGATGGCTCCTTCTAAGAACCATACCTTTAGTTCAACACTACAGCAACTATGGCAGACAGGGAAGCCTGAGATTTATGCAAAGAACTGTTTTCGGTCTGCATAGGCAAACTAGTGAGATACATATTGGGGACATTAAATGTCTAGCTCACTACTAACACCTTAGTCCCATTAAAATGTAATCTTTTTTAACAGCGGTCCCGTTGTCATTCAGGTATGCTTCACCTGCCACCCCCACCAACACCCAATAGTACGTGAAAACAGCTCTTTTTGGGGAAAATAGGTGGCTCTTAAAAGAGCCTTTGGTGATAGAGAAAGCTTACTTGCCAAATTCACTTGGAGCTGGTATACTTGGTGACGGCCTTGGTGCCCTCGGACACGGCGTGCTTGGCCAGCTCCCCGGGCAGCAGCAGCCGCACGGCCGTCTGGATCTCCCGCGACGTGATGGTCGAGCGCTTGTTGTAATGCGCCAGGCGCGACGCCTCGCCGGCGATGCGCTCGAAGATGTCGTTGACGAAGGAGTTCATGATGCCCATGGCCTTGGACGAGATGCCGGTGTCGGGGTGGACCTGCTTGAGCACCTTGTACACGTAGACGGAGTAGCTCTCCTTGCGGCTGCGCTTGCGCTTCTTGCCGTCCTTCTTCTGCGCCTTGGTCACTGCCTTCTTCGAGCCCTTCTTCGGGGCGGGCGCGGACTTCGCTGGCTCTGGCATGTTTAAGATCTCAAAATACAAGTAGAATGAAAGTACCAAGCGGATTTCTGCTATTTATAGAGCATTTATGCTAATGAGGGATTCAGAGAGACTCTTAGATAATTGGAAGAAAAACGGCGAGGCCGTCATACATGGGCAGAACCATGCAAATAAAGGATGGAAATGCAACTTTTCTATTGGCTACTTTCCTGATGCTTTTTCTAGCCAATCAGACAGTGTTATTTACGATCCAGGAAATAGCTATAAAAGCCGCCATGTTTTACATTCTTCCCTACTGCATTTGCTTTTTTGTGAACCTTGTCTGTGTTTTTGTTTGAGATGTCTGGACGCGGCAAGCAGGGAGGTAAAGCCCGCGCCAAAGCCAAATCTCGCTCTTCCCGCGCTGGGCTGCAGTTCCCCGTGGGCCGCGTGCACCGCCTGCTCCGCAAGGGCAACTACGCCGAGCGCGTGGGCGCCGGCGCCCCGGTGTACCTGGCGGCCGTGCTCGAGTACCTGACGGCTGAGATCCTGGAGCTGGCGGGCAACGCGGCGCGCGACAACAAGAAGACGCGCATCATCCCGCGCCATCTGCAGCTGGCCATCCGCAACGACGAGGAGCTCAACAAGCTGCTGGGCAAGGTGACGATCGCGCAGGGTGGCGTGCTGCCCAACATCCAGGCCGTGCTGCTGCCCAAGAAGACCGAGAGCCACCACAAGGCCAAGGGCAAGTGATTTGATAAGCATCTGAGCTTCCGGAAACCACTCTAAACCCAAAGGCTCTTTTCAGAGCCCCCACCCATTCAAATGAAGAGCCAAAAACACTTACAGGTCCTACCAAGGTAAGTTTTAAGGAAGAAAGGGTTAGTGTTACTGATCGGATGTGGTGGCGTATGCTTGTAGTTGCAGCACTAGGAAGACTGAGGCAGAATTGCCGCGAGGTAGAGACCACCTGGGCTATAGTGAGTTCAAGGCCAGCCTGAGCTATATAGCAAGATCCTGTCTGAAAAACAAATGGGCAGGAAACGGGAATTAGGCAATTGTTGACAGTAGACTATTCTTAAAAGAGCATATTGTACAGTCGAATGATTGACTAATAATCACCCAGAGCTAGCTGGAGAGTAAAGTGACATGAAAACTAAGATTCCCGTAAAAAGCATGAGATTCTCAAAGAAAAACTCCCTGACATTTTAACTTTTGACATAAGCTGCGTGTAGATTGTGCCTTGGCTAACTTCATTCCCTAATAACCTGATATTCAAAGACCTGTACTACATAGTAGAAATATTTTGGGTAGTTGAAATCCCTAGGTTCCAACCCAGGCTAAAAAGCAATTGTAGAGGGACCCCAGGCCTCAGACACTTTTGTTACTATAATAGGTATCTGGTAATAATTTCTCCAACCACAAGAAGTGCAGATCTGGGGCCGTGCAAAAACCTCTAGCGTACTGTTCTGGGTTCTTAGTCCTACTGGGCTTTAGGAAGACATGGTATGTGACTTGAACGGGAAATGGCCATTGAGGGACGCACAGTGGCTAAAGGCTAGCCAATGCCCTTGGGCTTCCACTGGCCAAGCAGGCCAGCCAAGTAATCGAAGGCTTCTGGAACTCTACAGAAGCATTTTTTTTTTTTTTTTTGTACCAGGGATCAAACTCTGGACCTTGTGCTTGCAAGGCAGGTGGTGGAACCACTGAGCTAAATCCCTGGCCCATCTATGGAAGCATTTTGAGTGGAGTCGTTTGTCTAGAGTTCAAAGCCATATGTGGTGTAAAGAATTTTTTTTTTTTAATCCAAGCAGAAGCTGGTTCCTGTGGACACATCTTTCCAGATGTTGACATCTCTCCCCTGCATTCTTGTGGCAACCTCTACTTCCCTATTTTGCCCCAGCAGCATCCTAAAAAGGAAACAATTGAGAGTCGTGGCACTTGGTGAAGGCAAGGAAAAACCAAAAATAATATTGATGAACACATATTAAAATTCTCTGAGGTGTTTTTTAAAACACAGTGATTGTACAGGCTGGGCTGAGGATCATCAGACTGGGAGGAAGTCTGACCTCTTAAGTGTCCTGGCCCGGGTCGCCTGTGAGGATCACGTTCTTTCAGCCTAGCATTTCTTGTATGTGGAAACACTTGGGGGTTTTAGGTTGAAATTACTTCATTTGAGGCTTGGGACCCTTTTCATTTACTTGCCAGGCTGCCCTGGAACCCAGCCCCCACACGCCCTAGGTGTGTGACCTGGGCCTAGTTACTTCACTACTCTCTGCTGCCATCTCGTTTCTTTATTCACCTTGCTATGAGAAAAACCCAGTTCAGCAGTGTGGGTTTAGAAATCAAAACAAAGGCTGATCAAGAGAGATGTTGTGTTGGGCATTTACTGTATAAGACACGTTTTTGTATACTCCCAGCATATGGGCTCATTTAATATATTTCAGAGGTAGGTTATATCCCTATAACATTTATGGTGAGGAAACAGAAACATTAAAATACTTAAGTCCCAAGGTCAGGAATCTAGAACTTATAATGGCGATTTTTTTCATAACCACTCTTTTCTTTGAAGGGAAAGTCAGAAAAATGGAAACGAAAAATAAAATCAATATGCAGTGTGTGAACTTTACCCACGTACTAGAATGTTTCTGATGCCATCCTAAACTCTGAAGAATTTAAGGAGAGTTGATTTTCCCCAGAATCTACATAAAGAGATAAATCTGCAATGCATTAGCACAGTGAACCCAGAAAAAAAGCCAGTAATGTTTGATTTAGGGTGTGATAAATGAAACAAAGGGACTTGGTTTGGTAGGAGATGGTTTTCTAAGGGCTACAAGAATTGATAAACTGATTTATTATGGTGAGTAAGGAAAGAAGATTGGGAAGACTAGGTTTGAATTCTCTGGACTCCAATAACAAAACTTTTTTTTTGATTGTTTAGTAGTCAATGATACATTTAGTAGTCAATGATACTTTGTTAACCAGAATGTTTTCATATTTAGCAAGACCTACATAAAATAAAGGACTTCATCTTGTTAAATTGTAGATAATCAGCATAGATCATGCCACACAAGAGACCTTACTTACTACAGGGACACAGATTAAATGTTGAGCTCAGTGAATCCCAGGCTAGACAGCCAGGAAGCCCTGTGTCCTACAAAGACAGTTTCTCACCAGGAAGACATTAAGCAGTCACAACAAAAACAGTCAAAAACAAAGAGAGTTCTTATCTGATACTTAACTGGATAGTCTGCATTTGTGTTTGCTGAATCTGGCAACCTTATCTAAAGGGCAAAATTACAGTATCTTCTCTAGGAGTCTGGGCCTTTTAGCCATGGGGAGTTGTATTTGAGAAATCGAGAAGAGTAGGTACCTTGAGAAAGACCAACTCATTACACAGAAAAGAGTCTATAAGCTTTCTATACATGTGAAGAAGGCTGTGCAGGAAGTTTCCAGATACATTTGCTTTGATTTCTTCTTTTCCTTTGGTTTCAAACCTTATTACCAAGAGATGCCAAGATCCCAAGGGGCTGCTAAAAACAGCAATTCTTGAAATAAAAGGATAGTGTCAAAGTTTTATATCGCTGATTGAGTGCTCACCTGGCCTTGCCTCGATGAAGGAATGAGTGAGGGCTCTCGTGACTCTTCTTACAAGGGCATAAGCTCTACAGAATTTGGGCTCCATCCTAACCACTTTCTTTACCCCTAATAACTTTCTAAAGGACCTGTCTCCATATAACTGTCACATTGGAATTTCAAGCTTCAACATATGAATTAGGGGAGCACAAATCAGTCTAGCATTTCCTCCCGGAGCAACAAAGTTCATCTGTCTCTCATGCAAAGTGCTTTCATTCCATCCTAACAAATCCAGTTTTATCCCATTCCAGCATCACTTCTATAGTCAAAAGTATCATCTGTATCATCTATTATACGAGTGAAGCTCATGGTACAATTCATCCTGAGTGAAAATTTCTTTCTAGCTGTAAAACTGTAAAACCACACGTTTTTTCCTCCAAAAACACAATTATGGAACAGATCTTGTCTAGATCTTTCCATCCCAAAGGAACAGATAATGAAGAAGTAAAGGTTCTCGCTTCAGCAGCACATATACTAGAAAGAAGTAAAGGATGATGGGTCCTACATAAGTCCATGAACTGGTGGGCAAAGCCCATTAGCTCTTATATCTAGAGAATAAGCCTCCTCAGCCCAATGTCCTGCCACTGAGGCCTACTAGGGTGGCAGTGTTACCCATGGCTCTTTGTGCAGCCTGCCACTTCTCTGCAGACCTTGCTCCTCCAGTTTGCAGTGTGTGCTCCTGAGCAGTTCCGTAGGGACTGGCCCCTGCATATCTCCAAAAGGTGGAGGTAGAGCAGCTCTCCTTCAGTCCTACCTCCTCTATCCTGTCTGTCCACTCAGAGCCTGAGGTGGAAGTGAAAGCCCCAATGGTCTCTGCAGTGCCTTTGAGTCCCTTCTTCCCTTATTCTTAAGAATAGTACACATTTATAGCTGGAGAGCTCTAGAGTCTTATCCTCTAGAATGGAAAAAGCCTGACGACCTTCCCTCCTTTTCATTTTCTATGTTTAGTTTAAAGTGGCAGCATCTCTGCTGGCATCTCGTCTTTCTTTTCAGCTTCTGCTGAGATGGCTGATTAAGTCCCTAGTCCTAGGACATTTCTATTAAGTGGTTACTCAACTGTACCTCTTTAAGAATACTTTTCTCTAGGGGCCAGGAATTTAGCTCAGTGGTTCTGGCGCTGACCTTGCAAGCGCAAGGTCCCACGTTCAATCCCTGGTACCCCCCAAAAAAGAACAACTTTCTCAACTTTAATAATACAGATGAGCTGACAATTTTCCAAATCTCCAAGTTTTAGTTCATTTTACTTAACAATTCCTAATTCAATTCTTCTCTTTCCTGTAGCATCTTACTATAAGGAGTAAGCAGAACCCAAACTGCACTTTCCAAACTTTACATGGAAATCTGCTCTGCTGAATATCCATTTTGTTGCTTGTAAATTCTGTCTTCCAAGAAACACTAGAATACAGTTCAGCCAGGTTTGTACCACTTTAAAGGAAGAATCACCTTTCCTTTGGTTTCTGACAACCTGTCCCTCATTTCCAAAACTTCATAAGAATGGTCTTTAATGCTCATACTTGAACCAACATTTTGTTCATGAATATTTATGTATTCTCTAGAAAAATGGAAGTTTTCTCTCCAGTTCTCTTCTTTCCTTTCTTAACCTTCACCAGAATTGCCTTTCACATTTATCAACAGTCCCTTCACAGCAAATGACTTTTTCTAGCATGAACCTCAAGACCCAGCCTTTACCTTTTGCCTAGTGCAAAAGCCACTTCCACAGGTTTAGATGTTTATTGTGGCTATGCCCCATTTTCTTGGTAGCCAATCCATCAGTTGGCTTGGGCTGACATAGCAAACTACCAGACTGGGTAGCTTAAACAACAGAAAAGTATTTCTTCACCATTCTAGAGGCAATCAGTGCCCACATGGTCACTTTCCTGTTAGGCTCTCTTCCTGGTTTACACTTTATCCCCTAGGTCCCAAGCAGATGAACATGTTCATGCTCTCTTTTATTTAATAGCTTGAGCTGAAAGTATAAGGCTTTGACTTTATGCCACCGCAAGTAGTCCTTGCATTAAATATCTGCCTCAAAGTGATCAGTCTGACCTGTGCTCTAAATTTTAGAAATCCAGAGCTTGGTTTGGGTCCCTGCTTATTATTCTGTCTCCTTGATGACTTCATGAATATTGCAGTTTCAAAGACCGTATAACAACAGTAAACCTCCAATTTTACATCTCCAA